ACAATTATGGCAATGATGGTGATGATGATAATTATATATACGATGATCAGAACAAGACCAATTATGATAATAGCGGTGCTAATGAACCTTATGATCATAGTAATAATACTTACAACAGTGATGGTAAAAATCAGGATGATATTGATAACAGTGATGATGGTGATGTCATATAGAGGACACAATTACTTTATCGATCTAATGACAACGCCTGTAAACAAATGGCAATGGTAGTGTTAATAAAATAATGATAACAATAATAGCACAAACGGTAGCAGCAATGGTAATGGTAATGGTGATGGTTATGATAGGACAGATAATATTACTACTACTGCTGTTGCTGCTGCTATGCTGTTGTTGCTGCTACTGCTGCCGCCACCACCACCACCACTACTACTACTACTGCTGCTACTACTACTACAATTACTGCCTCTGTTGCTGCTGCTACTACTACTACTACTTCTAATACTACTACTCCTGCTACTACTGCTGCTGCTACGGCTACAACTACTGCTACTGCTACTACTAATATTGCTGCTGCTCCTTCTACTACCACTACCATCACTACTATTACTGCTGCTGCTCTGCTACTACTACTACTACTAATATTTCTGCTACTATCACTACTGATACTACTACTATTTCTGCTACTACTACTACTATTACTGTTACTGTCACTTGTTCTTGATTGATCATGGCGATGATATCAAAGATAAAGTTAACAAAATGATAAAACAATAAAATTTATAGCTTTGGAAGCCACTAAGCCCGGGTGGCGGCGTTTTCACAGCAGATACTTTGTCCCATTAGGTATAAACAACACGTTTCCGATATCTTCACTTGCAGAATATTTATGCATCTCATTAACACCAATGACCAGGACTGAGAAGAAATATCCGATGGCCATTACGTTTAAATTTGAAAAGAAATAGACTTTCAAATGGTTCTATAAATTTCCATTTTCTTTCAGTGACCCCGTTTTCTGTTGTCAACATGTCTGAGAAATAATTTCAGTGTTTTGGTGTTTTGGCGAGGTCAGTAGCAACTCGAGGAGGTGTCATGGCGTCTAATTAAATTTTTTGGAAAAACGCATATGGGGTTTATTTTGATGACGTCACAAAAGTTACGGATGCTTTGTGAATATGGTCGATCATTTTGGTCTCTTCGATTTCCAAGAAAGATGGAAAATAATGATTTTAATGGTTATAGTTTCATTGAACAATCATCGAAACAGACGCCATGACACCTCCTCGAGTTGCTATTGATCTAACATTTCCTTTTTTGGTATCTGTGAAGAGTTTATGAAATCTATTAACAGTGAGAAATCTGCATGTCTGTATGCATCAGTCGAGTGGTTAGAATATTTATTTTTTAATGTTTCTTTATTTAATAGCAGCTACTGAAGTGATTATAGGAATTGATTCTGAGAAGTTGACAGCCATTCAGGTAAACAGATTGTTGTATAAAAAAAGAGAAGAGATTTAGGTTAGCTCTTTTTTTTCTTTTTCTTTTTTTTTCTTTCTCATGCGATACGTCGCTCTTGAACAACGATAAGATTATTCACAATCGCCTATTTTTAAAGCGAGAACAACTCCTTGTCAAGCTTTTCCACTGTTGATTTTAATACAATCCGTTTACAAGAGGTTAGCGTTCTCTTTATGTTTTAAGAACACTTTGAATAGTATATTTTTTTTTTTTGTTTCTGTTCATGTAATCCATCAATTACAAGATAGAATTAAAAAAAATATATCCATAGTAACAAATAAGTAATCAACTGACACTACGATGACGTAACACCGTCTAAAAATTAATTACATATTAGAACTGGCGTCACTTTAACCCTAACCTGAATATGTGCGTCAAAATTGATAATACCCAATGAAGCCAAACCTCATTACATATTAAAAAAAAGAAAAAAAAAAGAAAAAAAAAGTTTATTTACATTCAGAATAACATTATCTTCCCTCTCAGTTTTTTTTTAATATTCCCTCTCAATTTGTATTTTTTCTTTCTTATATATGCGGTTCATTTAGCATTCCGAAAATCCATTCTAGTGTTTTCATTATTAACAAAAGACGCGCGTATTATCTGTCCCGGGTGATAAGAAATTATATAAAGTCGAGATACTGTGAACAGATTTCAAAAGCGGTTTTTTGAGTGCCCGGTTATTAAGATTTTCGTTTAAGAAGGGAGAGATTTCACAGAAAGTCAAGGATGATAATAATGATAGTGGCAATTTTAGGAAAGTTATTGATAACGGTATCAGTGATATTGCCAGTGGTAATGGTAGTAACAAACATGATAATAGTAATATTGATGATAATGATTATGATAATGACAATAATGGAAGTAATGGAAATAATAATAATGATAATGATAATAATGATAATAATAGCAATAATAATGATAATAATAATGATAAGTGAGAATGATAGTAACAAACATGAGGATAATGATAATGATAATGATGATGATAGTAATATTGATGATAATGATTATGATAATGACAATAATGCAAGTAATGAAAATAAGATCATAATAATAATATGAAATATATAAGAATGATAATAACAATAATAATGATAATTATAATAATAACAATAATAATGATTATAATAATAATGACATTAATAATAATAATAGTAGTAATAATAATGGTGATTATAATAATAACGGCAATCTTTCTTAGTCTTTATCCACATTAAGTAAGGTTGAAAGAAATGGAAATAATAATAATAATAATAATAATAATAATGATAATAATAATAATAATATTAGTAGTAATGGTGATGATAATGATAACGGCAATCTTTCTTAACCTTTATCCACCTTAGATAGGGTTGACATTCGTGGAAAATCTCGCGTTGGGGTTTTATTAATTTACGTCTGAAATGATCACTTTTTGGCTAGGTGTAAATACAATTTCATGAGCAGTTTGTGCGTTTTCTGCCCCGATACTGCCATTTTTGTGGGATTAGAAGGTCTATAGTTATGACCGTATTGTAGATTTCGTCGAATATATAGTGGAAATATTGAAAATGTTCTGAAATAAACATAAGGCGGCCGAGTTAGAGGGAGCGTTATTCTAAAGTAAACAAAAGGGTACCAAAACCTGTTGCTTTTTCTTTTGTGTATCTGGTTAAATCCTCCTCTCTTTAAAGTATTAATCCAGCCCTTATGGAATCCAAACCCTTTTGATCTAATCCCCTAATGTTTCTCTTTTCCTCTTGTTCATGTTATATTCACGATCCCTTCTCATCGCTTAACCACGCCTCCGCCATATTTTCTGATGCGCTTTATTTGATGCCTTTATCTCCGCTATTCCAATCTTCTCTTCATGTATTCATTGAAGTATTCACATTTTCGCTGCACCCAACTCCCTTTTGCTCTTCTTTTAATGCTGAAGTTTATTCTCTGTACAACTTTTAATGTCCATGGTTTTCTTTCGGAGAATATTTGATGCCTATACTTATATTCCGTAGAACATTTGATAATCATGTTTATTCCACTGAACATTTGAGGCTCACCCTGATGAACAACGTCGGCCTTTCCACAGCTTTTTTTCAAATTTATTTTTTGGTGCCTTTGCTTATTTGCTCTCTCTCTCTCTCTCTCTCTCTCTCTCTCTCTCTCTCTCTCTCTCTCTCTCTCTTCTCTCTCTCTCTCTCTCCATGCGTGTGTGTGTGTGTGTGTGTGTGTGTGTGTGTGTGTGTGTTTATGTGTGTGTGTGTTGTGTGTGTGTGTGTGTGTGTGTGTGTGTGTGTGTGTGTGTGTGTGTGTTTGTGTTTGTGTTGTGTGTGTGTGTGTGTGTGTGTGTGTGGTGTGTGTGTGTGTGTGTGTGTGTGGTGTGTGTACGTGTGTGTGTACCCATCACCATCACCATTGGACGAATAAGAACCATATAATGTTTTCTTTTTCATTTCCCAGCCTATCACTATCACTATTTAGACGAATAAGAATAACATTTTATAAAATTTCCCTCGGCAACCCGCCCCAGCCCTCACCATTATTATTTAGACTTTTGTTTTTGCAAACTCTGAATGAAAAATATGTCTTAAATATTTTTATGTTTAATTAATCTCGTTTTTAATTTGAAGCATACAAAAAAAAGGAAAAAAAAAAGAAAGAAAAAAAAGGTGTGTCTCCGTAGCTGTGTATTTCCCATGATCAGCTTGCCATCCATCGCTAATTTGACAAATAAGAACAATAACTTTCTTTAATTTGTTCCTTGGACCAATTTTTCAACAATATAAGTACACCCCCTTGACACAGCCCTCCCCCATAAAAAAACATCCCCCCCTTGACCAGCTCCCCCACTATAAGACACCCCCCCTCCTTGACACAGCTCTCCCCCATAAAAAAACACCTCCCCTCTTGACCAGCTCCCCGACCATAAGTAATCCCCCCCCCCCCCTTGACCAGCTCCCCACCATAAGACCAAACATCCCCCCCTTGACACAGCCCTCCCCCATAAAAACAACATCCACCCCCCCCCCCTTGAAGCAACTCTCCACCGTAAGCCAACAACAACACCCCTTCCCTCTCGCCCAGCTACCCTCGGCTACCCACACCCGGCCATGACCAGATCCCGAAGACGTGGAGGCCAAGTGCGGTTCACAGGAGAGCAGACGAGGCAGCTGGAGTCCTGGTTCGCCAAACACAAGTACATCACGCCACAGCTTAGGAAGACGATTGCAAGGGACCTCAGTCTGCAGGAGAGGCAGGTGAGGAGGGGCTGGGGGGGTGAGGGAGGGGATGGGGGAGTGAGAGAGGGGCTGGGGAGTGAGGGAGGGGCTGGGGGAGTGAGGGAGGGGATGGGGGAGTGAGGGAGGGGAAGAGGAGAGGGAGGGGAAGGGGAGGGATGAGAGGAAGAGGATGGGGAGGGAGAGGGATAAGAGGGAGGGGAAGGGGAGGGGAGAGAGAGAGGTGAGAGAGAGAGAGAGAGAGAGAGAGAGAGAGAGAGAGAGAGAGAGAGAGAGAGAGAGAGAGAGAGAGAGAGAGAG